CCAAAATTCCATGTTTTCCGTCCCGTTTTTGCTCATATCTCGGAGGCAAAATGAGCAAGAACGTTCATTTGTACATCATTCTAGACATAAATAAATGACCTTTTTAGAAAGTGAACCATGGATGGGGAAATGTTGGCAGTTTTCTCAAAAAATGCTTGAATTCAAGAAGTTTTAGGTTTGCTTGGTTTTTTTTGAGTTGCAAAATCCACTTGAACATGACGCTGCTTTTTTCGAAGTTTCTCAAGAACCAATCGAGCCACAGAATTCGTTTCGGCATCGTTGGATAGAGAATTAAAAACTCGATTCAGTCGTAACCACGTGAGTGAGGAAATTCGAGTAGTTTTGACCCAGAAAGCAAAATTTGAATATCAAATACTTAGGTTCAAGATTATGCCAAAATTCCATGTTTTCCGTCGCGTTTTTGCTCATATCTCGGAGGCAAAATGAGCAAGAACGCTCATTTTTACATCATTCTAGGCAGAAATAAATGGCCTTTTTAGAAAGTGAACCACGAATGGGGAAATGTTGGCAGTTTTCTCAAAAAATGCTTGAATTCAAGAAGTTTTCGGTTTGCTTGGTTTTTTTTGAGTTGCAAAATCCACTTGAACATGACGCTTCTTTTTTCGAAGTTTCTCAAGAACCATTCGAGCCACAAAATTCGTTTTGGCATCATTGGATAGAGAATTGAACGGAGGGGGGGTTATGACCCCCAAAACCTCCCCCTGGAGCCCTTGATACTAATTTGAATAATTCTGTGCGACTTTTACATAGAATCCACCCCTGAAGCTGTATCTGGGAGTTTAGTAAAATTATTAGAAACTTTCGAAGACTTAAAATCCGCAGCTACACGAACTCAGGGACTCTATTTCGAGCCAGCTCTATCGCGCTTGGATTGTTTTCTGTATCCTTAGAGCAACAAAGGCGAATGTTTGGAGCCAGGCTGACGTGCTATCATCCTTCCACATTAATGTGAATAAATCACTAATTCGCTTGGGTGTTACAGTAAGAAGAGTCGGTTCATATGCTCTATCGGGTTGGTTTGATTGATCGCCGTTCGGTTCGGGTGAACGAAGTGAATAATGGATATTATGGAAGCTATTTTATGGGACTTTGTTAACAATGTTGAAATGCCCATCAAAAGGCTTTAGAATGAATAAGATTATTGAAAAGTTTATGAATAAAGCAAGGCAACATTTAGCAGCAAAGAGCGGGAACAAAATAATATAATGAAATGAGCAAGTGCATATTTCGAGTCTTGCCAAATTCAAGCACCCTCAGGAGCCTCTTAGCTCTCATCAGCTGGGTTTGCTCTCATTAGCTGCTCATTTCATTAGACTATTTTTTGAAGAAATTTGAATGTACAGCCGTTGGCTTTTTAGCATGTTAAAACCCCTTTTTTAAATGCTTGATCTTTTATTCGCTGGACTGTTTGTCCCCTGATGGGTGATTATTCTGTAAAAATCTCAATTAACTTCACAGAAAATTCACTCTTGCTTTCTCTCCGTTAAACTGATGTAAAACTTGTAAAATTAAGTCCCGAATTTACACGCTGCTAAACTTTCACATAATTTATTCTTCCAATAAAGGATTTCGGCTGGAAGCGACAGCGCCGGCCTTTGCAGAAATAAGAAAGAACGCTTCCTGTCCGCATTAATTATTCAGCACTTTCGATTAACCACATTCGCCTTGGACTTGTGGGCTGGAACAAATGGACACTAAAGTCGAAATTATTTTGTAACAATTCGATTTGCCTGAATCGCTAATTTGCCATCAGATTCTGATATAAATCATAAACAAAGCGCTTAAAAATGCAATTGTTYGAAATGCKATAAAGGATTTCCAATTTATTTCAAGCCATTCAATTTCAATTCGAACTGGATGGTTGTTAAATTTGTTGCAGTGTCGCATTTTCCAATCAAACATCGCTTAAACTGATTCCGGTTTTCCCATCTATTGTTTCCGGGGATGCAAATGAATTATTTAGACTTTTAGGTTTTTTATATTAAATTCGCATATGGAACAGTGAGGAACCTTTCAAGCCAACCAATCCGGATAGTGACTTTAGCAAATAGCAGCTCAAGTCATTTGCAGCCCTAGAAAATCTAGTAAAAAGCTTTGCGATTTGCGATGATCGTCAGATCCCTATACGCTTTATATTCCTTTAAGCGCTGATGCTGGAAAACAATCGGATTATTTAACTTCCTTTCCGAAAGGAAACTGGATAAAAGCTGATTGTGAACCGAGAAAAATTTACATCGAGTATTGTATTTTATGCAAACAGAGCCATCGACGAGCGGTTATCAAGTGGATTTTTTGCAGTCAAACCTCTAAGGTGTACCAAAACTTCCCCAATTCCAGCCTTAGAAGGGGCAAACGTTTGAGCCAACTTGGACAAACAGAATGCTTGCTTGATAAGCCACATATTAAGTTTGCGAGCTTCGCAGCATCGTCTTTAGCGCAATTCTTGCAAAGTTTTCCTCAACAAACCTTCCATCTAAATAAATGTTTCCCCAAACTTTTCGGGCCAAATTCGTGTTTAATTTCCGCATTTCAGACGACCGGTTTTTTCAATTAATAATTGAACATTCTAAAGCTGAAAATGCCTGGGAAATTGTGTTAAATCTAAGCCACAGTGGAGTTGTTCAACAGGGGGTGGACAAAGAACACAAATCAATTTATTAGACTGAGACTATTCATCGTAGGCACCTGAAGCATCTAAGGTGTTTTAGTCAGTCGCTTCTTGTGTGAAAATCACCAGAAAATGTTGAAATAATTTCTGAACCTTATGGAACTTAGAGTCAACCACAACTAGCCACTGTTGATACCTTTATTCTGATTTATTCTCCTGAGTGCGTGTAGGGGTTATGATATTTTTATCTTTGTAAAAATTTTGAACATCGTTTATTTCATTACGTTTCGGCGAGACAACAGCGCCATCATCAGATTTAAAATTTACACAAACTCATGATTGGTAAAAATCAACGTTCTTTTAGGTCTTTGCCTTCTTGAAACCGTAAATTTGTCTCTTGGAAAGACAAATTTACGGTTTCAAGAAGGCAAAGACCTAAAGAACGTTGATTTTTACCAATCATGAGTTTGTGTAAATTTTAAATCTGATGATGGCGCTGTTGTCTCGCCGAAACGTAATGAAATAAACGATG